CCCCCCCTTCCACTCTGAAAAGCAATGGAAAAAATGTCCTCGGGTGAGAATTAAAAAAAAAATAAAAAGGTGTTTTTAAAAAAATTAAAAATAGGCTTTGTGTTATGTTTGAAATTGATCTAGAAACTGTTTCATTAGGCTAATATTCTGACAGTTATTGGAAGAGTCAGAAATTATTGTTGCTCCTACAGACACTGCAGGTGCCTTTAAAAAAAATCCTTAAAAAAAGGCTTCACAACTTTTTAAAATGTTTAAGGATGGTCTGTTTCAACATCATTAAGTGTTGTTAAAAGCCATATTTCTCTTTACCACCCCTCCATGATAGAACAGCATTTACTAAAGCTGCTTGTTTGCCCCAATACCCCATATTTTTTATTTAAATAATTTTAGAATAGTTTTAGATTTATAGAAAAGCTCAAAGATAATACAATGAGTCCCCATCTACCTCTCACCCAGTTTCCCTTGTTAACATCTTACATTACTGTGTGTGTTTGCCACAACTAAGGAACCAACATTGGTACATTACAATTAAGTTTATTTGAACTTTCCTAGTTTTTCCCTAATGCCCTTTTTCTGTTCCAGGATCCCATCTAGGATACCACATTACATTAATCTTCATGTCTACTTAGTGTCCTTTGGTCAGTGACAGTTTCTCAGTCTTTCCTTGTTTTTGATGAACTTCACAGTTTTGAGAACTACTGGTCATGTATTTTTTTGTACAGTGTCCCTCAATTTGGATCTGTCTGATGTTTTTCTAACGATTAGACTGGGGTTATGGGTTTTGAGGAGGAAGACTACAGAAGTGAAGTGCTCTTCTCATATCATATCAAGGCACATGACATCACTAATATTAATCTGTTTTAAATTTGTTTTTATTGAGGTACCATTGGTTAGTAACATCTAAATTTCAGGTGTACAACATTATAGTTCAATATCTCTATTTCTGCTCCCTACACCAAAAGTCTGGTTTCCATTCATTACCGTATAGTTTGACCCCCCCTTTACCACTTTTGCCCTTCCTCTTCTGGTAACTACCATTATGATGTCTGTATCTATGAGTTTGTGGTTTGTTTCATTTTGTTTTGTTTGTTCATTTGTTACTTTTTTTAAAAAATATTTCACATGTGAGTGAAGTCTATGGATCTTGTCCTTTTCTGGCAGACTGAATTCACTTATAATATGCTTAAGATCTGGCCATGTTGTCACAGATGGCAGTGTTTCTTCTTTTTTATGGCAGAGTAGTAGTTGTGTGTGTGTGTGTGTATGTGTACAGATACACATACAGAGACCATGATGATGTTAATTTTGATCAACTGGCTGAGGTAGAGTTTGTCAGGTTTCTCTACTAGTTACTTTCCCCTAGCCCCTTTTTGGAAGTAGTCTGTAAGTGTTGCCTTCACCCAAGAGGTCAAGCTCCACCTTCAATTATTTGGAATAATTCTGTATGGGAGATTTGTCTTTTCTCCCCTATTTATTTATTCAGTCACCTTTTTTTACATCAGTATGGGCTTGTGGATATTTATGTTACATTTAAGGTTATAATCCAGTTCTACATTGTTTATTTTGTTACTCAGATTGTTTCAAGTGTGACTATTGGGAGCTTTTATTTATTTTACTTTTTTATTTTTATTTTTTAAATATATGTTTATTGATTCCAGAGAGAGGACGGGAGAGGGAGAGATAGAAACATCAATGATGAGAGAGTCGTCATTGATCAGCTGCCTCCTGCATGCCCCCAACTGGGGATCGAGCCTGCAACCCAGGCATGTGCCCTGACCAGGAATTGAACCGTCACCTCCTAGATCCTAGGTTGATGCTCAACTGCTGAGTCACGCCCGGCCGGGTTTGGGAGCTTTTATATGTTGGCTTCCATGTCCCTTTAACTTGCCTCGCTGTGGTTTTTGTTTGTTTGTTTAATGCTTTCTGGCATTACAGGATGTTCCAGGCTCAGCTTGTATATTCCTTGACCTAGAATCGGCTATTTCTCCATCTCTAGTTCCTTTTATTGGAGAATGATATTTAGAGACCAAGACCTGGGCACTGTGTATGCTGATTGCTACTGGGATGTCATTGCTTCTGGACCTTCACAGCAGACGGAGTTAAGAAGTAAATGTCTCCACAGTAACCCATGTATACACACTTATCTAATTCTGTATCAACCTCTGTCTATATTACACTAAACAGTTCTTACTGCCATACTTTTTAAATTTAAATTTGTATTGATATTTTTTAAAACCTAATTTTACATGCCCAGCCAGCATGGCTCAGTGGTTGAGCATCGACTTATAATCCAGGCGATCAAGGTTCAATTCCCAGTCTGCACATGCCTGGATGCCTGGGTTGCCGGCTTGATCCCCAGCAGGGGGCATGCTGGAGGCAGCTGATCAATGACTCTCATCATTGATATTTCTATCCCTCTCTCCCTTTCCCTTCCTCTCTCAAATCAATAAAAACATATAAAACAGAAAAACAATTTTACAGTTTTTACTCCTTAAAAGTAGCCCCAAAGATCCATGTATCACATTCTTTCCACAGATATTTGAGTACCTGCAAAGTACTAGGTGTATTCTATGTGTTTGAAGTACAGCAGTGAACAAAACAGATGAAAGTCCCTCCCCTCAAGAGTTGATATTCAAGGAAGGAGACATACAGTTTAAAAACAAAAAAGGTAAAATATATAGCATTTGTATGGTGGTAAGTGATATGGAGGAAATGAGTAGGAGGATAAGGAGTTCTGAGGTGAGGGAGAGTAGTGTGCAGTTTAAAACAGCATGGGAAAGGGCTACCTTAGCCAGAAGGTGACATCTGAGTACAACCTGGAGGGGATGAGGGAGCCAGGCATGCATAGTCTGGAAGAAATGTATAATCTGCAGGAAGTGTTAAAGGGAGTAGCCTCAACAAAAGCTCTGAGGTGGGAGTGTGTCTCACAAGTCAAGGGAACAGTGTTGCTGGCGTAGAAGGAACAGGGAGAAGTACAAGATGAGATTAAGGGCCTGGCGGGGTGGGGCGGGGCGGGGCTCAGCGGTTGAGTGTCGATCTAGGATTCATGTGATTCCCGGTCAGGGCACATGCCCAGCTTGTGGGCTCGATCCCCAGTCGGGGGCGTGCAGGAGGCAGCTGATCAATGACTCTCATCATTGATGTTTCTCTCTCTCTCTCTCCCTCTCCTTTCCTCTCTCTGAGTTCAATAAAGATATATTTTTTTAAAAATTCATAAAAAAAAAAAAGATGAGATCAAGGGCAACAGGGGCTGAGATCTTGTGAGGCCTTCTTGGCAATTATGATGCCTTTGGCTTTTACTCCGTATGACACACAAAGCCTTGAGAGGTGTGAGCAGAGGAATGATGTAATCCGACTTGAACAGGGCCTCTGGTTGCTGTGTTGAGAATGGACTGAGGGGGCAAGGGTGGAAGCAACTAAGAAGCTATTGTAGTGGAGCTGCCATTAACTGAGATGAGCAGCTTTTGGGGGGAAAGATGGGGAGTATAATTTTGGACATATTAAGCTTGAGATGCCATTGGACAGGCTGGTGGCAATGTCAAGTGGGTAGTTGGTCGTATAAGTCTGAACTTCAAAGGAAAGGTCTAGGCTGGAGATAAATTGGCAGTTGTGAGTATCTAGATGGTAATTAAAGCCACACGACTGGATGAGATATCCAAGGAGAATGAATGCAGCAAGGAAGAAGGGGGCCAAGTGGCCAGTCTGCCATTCATTTGTGGTCTTGCTGAAACATGAATTTGAATTGAGGACACTACAGAACTCAAGTCACTTAGCTAGTGAGCTAGCCCATCCAGCAGCCAGGCAGAAACATCTAGGGAAACTTTTTCTTCTTTGATTGCAGCTATGCATATGTTTTGAAGAGGCAATCATGTGATACAGTGGCATGTGTGAGTGTGGACTTGCAGGTTCTGGGAACAGATCCACATGAATGTGATATAAGACAGTCTCTGTTAAATACCACCTGTGCTGTATAGCTCCTAATGTCCTGTTGAGTTTCCTGGGCTGAATCCCAGAAGCTGAGTAGCCCAGATTCTGATGTCTTTCCTGTTGTTAGGGTGCCCTCTTCTGGCTGGAGTGTGAAATTTTGTAACCAGTTATGTAGTTATTCCAACACTGAGGTCTCCTTTTTTTTTTTTAATGTATCTTTCTTGATTTCAGAGAGAGGTGGGGGGGGGGGATAGAAACATCAATGATGAGTCATCATTGATCGACTGTCTCCTGCATGCCCCCAACGGGATCGAGCCCGCAACCCCAGGCATGTGCCCAGACTGGGAATGAAACCTCTGTCTCCTGGATCCTAGGTCAGTGCTCAACCACTGAGCCACGCTTGGCTGGGCCTGAGGTCTACTTTTAAGCAAATCTAAGAAATGCTCCCAGCACTGCTACATCTGCAATCTTTGGTGCTAGAGCCTTTATTGTAGGAAACTTGATGGCAGTGCTTCTTCCCTGGCTCAGTTTTCAAGGAATCCTGAACTTGGGAACTCCAGCAGCGAATTGGGTGTGTAGGACAGCATTAGGGAGTGGATGGTGCTGATTCTGGTTCATCCTATCAGGACACCTGTTGGCATCTCGTAGAATGCTTCAGAATTGGTACCATGGAGGGAAGTCCAAGTACTGTTATCCCTAGAATTCTAATTATTGAAGTTTTCATAAAAGCAAGGTTACATATTGAGGTTTTATTCTGAGAATCCCATTTCATATTTTTAAAAATTACTAAAATTGGTCACAAACATAAATGAAAGGGAACAGTCATATATAAAACACATGTTTTTAAAACGTATTCACTAAATATGTGAATCTAAACCCCTAATTTAAAGCTATAACATAAATGTACATTTGCCTAGCCAGCAGTAGCCTGTTGAAACCTCAGGAGTTCTAAGATTCTAAAACACTTTTCAGAGCAAAGTTAATTTAAACGTAGTTTTTAAATTATGCCACAGTGCTTTTTTCTCTCTCACCTGAGGATATTTTCTCCATTGCTTTGGGGGGGCGGGGAGGAGCAAGAGAAAGAGAAACATTAATGTGAGAGAGACACATCAATTGGTTGCCTTCTTTCAGGAGCTCTGACCAGGGTCAGGATTGAGCCTGCAACCAAGGTACATGCCTTTGGCTGGAATCGAACCTGGGACACTGCAGTCCATGGCTGATGCTCTAACCACTGACCAAATTAGCCAGGGCTCCACTGATTGATTGATTTAGAGAGAGTGGAAAGGAGGGAGGGATGGGAAGAGAGAGAGAGATGTGAGAGATACATTGATTGGTTGCCTCCAGCACGAGGGCTGACCTGGGCTGGGGATCAAACCCAGTCAAGGGCACATACCTGATGAAACCCAGGTATGTGCCCTTGACTGGGAATCAAACCCAGGACCCTTCGGTGTGTGGGCCAACGCTGTAACTACAGAGCCACACCAGCCAGTGCCACAGTGTGCTTTTTTTTAAAAAAAATATCTTTATTGATTTCAGGGAGAGGGAGGGAGAGAGAGAAACATCAATGATGAGAGAGTCATCGATCAGCTGCCCTCTGAACATCCCCCACCAGGGTTCAAGCCCACAACCCAGGCATGTGCCCTGACCAGGAATCGAACCGCAATCTCCTGGATCACAGGTCAATGCTCAACCGCTGAGCCATGCTTGCTGGGCCAGTGTGCTTTTTTGAAAGTAAAATCAAAGTAGGATATCCTGAGCTAACTCCAAAGAGATTTGAACAGTAATTTTTATATAGTAGTAGCATAGGGGCCATAATTTTCACAATTTCTTGTGCTGTGAAGACCAAAATAAAAAAAATAGAACTTATTTTGGTAATTTTATGGTAACTATTTTCTTAGGTTGAACCTGTAACCCTGAAGAACCAGAAGCCCAAAGGAACAAATAGTCCTCCTACAAAGAGCCCCATCTTAAGTGAGGCTATTTCTGGAGTCCATCTGATGACCAAGGTACTGGGCATGGCCACAAGTCTGGGCCCTAGTTCTCCACAGGAGCGGGTGGGACCTGTGATTGTGAAAGTCGAGGAGGAGGAGAGAGAGAAGTGCTTTCCTAGCCTGGAGATGTTCCGCCAGCGCTTCAGGCAGTTTGGGTACCATGACACACCTGGACCCCGGGAGGCCCTAAGCCAGCTCCGGGTACTTTGCTGTGAGTGGCTGAGGCCCGAGATCCACACCAAGGAGCAGATCCTGGAGCTGCTGGTGCTGGAGCAGTTCCTGACCATCCTGCCCCGGGAGCTGCAGGCCTGGGTACAGGAGCACTGTCCAGAGAGTGCTGAAGAAGCCGTCACTCTCCTGGAAGACCTGGAGCGAGAACTGGATGAACCAGGACAGCAGGTAGGCTGGGGGAAACCTTTGTTTATCCTCTGAGATTGGGAGCATACATTCTGGGAAGGAATGGCTTTGTCCATACAATATGAATAGGAAAATGGAAGTTTCTACTGAGTTAGACCATGTTTCCTCCCTTTTCCTACTATCCTATACTAGCTTTAGCCTTGAGAATTGAATGGGAGGGTGCTTTTCTTTTCTCTTTCCTAGAGATTCTACGTAGCTCTCCTGAGATTTTCTTTCATTCTAGTTCTTAAAGTGAGCTGTGTACAAACCCAGCCATTCCTAATTGTCTCTAGGTTTCACCTCCTCCAAATGAACAGAAACAGGTGTGGGAGATGTCCTCTTCAGGAACAGCAAAGGAACCCCTGAGCAGCACACAGCCACAGTCTGTGGAGACAAGTCCCAAATATGAATCTTGGGGACCCCTGTACATCCAAGAGACTGGTGAAGAGCAGGATTTCATTCCAGAGCTGAGACAGAATCAAGGTAGGAACCATCTGTCAGGCCCCCACTCAGTGCCCGTGGCCTTTGTGGTTGAAGAAACAGACTAATTCTAATTACTGGTTGTGAGGCGACCCCTTAGATTGACTTGACTGGTCTAGCTGATTGGGTAGGATGAGTTTTGTCTCCTCAGGTGGGACTCAGGGTCCTAGCATGGGAACAGATGTCACACACTAATAAGGTCAGTTGAAGTGAATTTAATAAAGAGTCTGTTTACGGAGGTGTGGACAGGTTGAATGAACCAATAAGAGATGATGCTTGTTTATTTGTTAATGATTTAGTCAACCTGTTATAATCATCTTTGGATTATTCGGAAATGGTCCCTGGTAAATTCTTTTTCAACTTCTGCCTCATTAGGCTATTTAAAATTTTTAACTTTTAAGTTACTTATTTCCCACACATAATTCATGGCAACTTGAAGGGAAGCCTATATGAGTAGCCAAGTGATTGGTCATCATGGAGAGTGAAAGAGATTTTTTAGCTCCTGCTGCTACAGTCATCAGCAGACAGTGAGTAGGGAGTGAGCCTAGAGGCAGCTGAGTGGTTACTGCTGGCAGAGGAAGGAAATAGATGGTCAGGAGACAGAGAGATAGACAAGGGCCCTGGCTGGTTTGGCTCAGTGGTTAGGGCGTCAGCCCTCGGACTGAAGGGTTCTGGGTTCGATTCCAGCCAAGGGCATGTACCTCGGTTGCAGGCTCAATTCCCAGCCCCAGTTGGGGTGCATACAGGAGGCAACAATGGGTGTCTCTCTCTCTCACATCGATGTTTCTCTCTCTCTCTCTACCTTCCACTCTCTCTCTGAAAAGTAATGAAAAAAATATCCTCAGGCAAGAAAAAAAAAGAATCATTTTAAAAAAAGAGAGAGAGAGACAAGGAAAAGGAGGTTAGAGGGAAGTACCTTTGTCAGTTGGGGCTTCTGTACCCATAGAGGGGTGACCAGGATCAAGAGGAGTCCATTTTTCAGAGGAAACTTCTCTTACTTCCCTTTTCCATGTGTGTGGATGGTTAGATGGACTTTTAGCAGTGTGACTGCCTAATGAAATGTTCTAAAAAGATGTACTGCTTTACTCTGATTTCAACAATGATACTTTATAATCAAAAGAATTACAAGACATAGCCAATGTAGATTAAATGATAAGAGTTGAACCCTGGTGGGAGTTAAGTACTTTCACTCAAATTAAGAAGGATCTGGGCCCTGGCTGGTTTTGCTCAGTGGTTAGAGCATCAGCCCGCAGACTGAAGGGTCCTGGGTTCAATTCCAGCCAAGGGCACATACCTTGGTTGCAGGCTTGATCCCCAGGACTCATTTGGGAGGCAACCAATCAATGTTCTCTCACATTGATGTGTCTCTTTCTCTCTTCCTCTCCCACCCTCTCTGAAAAGCAATGGAAAAAACATCCTCAGGTGAGTATTTAAAAAAAAAGAAGGATCTTGGACTAGAATGATTGTAAATGGACTGAATGTTCTCCTTTATTACTTTTATATTCAGCTTCTATGAGCATATGGATTTTTCTGAGTTTGCCACTAGCCCCTTCTCCCTTAATTGTCCTTTTATTTTCCTTAATCAAATTGGGCCCTTCAGTACTCTTTCTTTCTTGTTTCATTCTGCCTGAGCATCACCCATCTCCCTTTGCTGCTATCCCAATATGCTTGGCTTTGCCTTATTGCCTTCTATATACAAAGTTTTCCTCCTGGCAGAAAAAGCCATGTACTCTTTATACCGTATAGCTTCTGGTAGGGGGCTTGTGTGAAAGTCTGGTGTTGTAAACTAGATTTGATGATGGCTTATTGGTATCACTGTGATATTGTGACCTCTCATAGAGCAATATTTGGTCACCCTTCAAAACCTGTCAGTGTCACCTGATAATTCTTTTTGTCCTTTAATAATTTTCTTCTCAGAACAGGAAACAACTGACATGTCCTTATTTTACTTATTGTTTCAGATTGTAAATCAAACACCCAGAATGAGAAATCAGCAGATGTGCAGAAAAGTTCTGAAGAGTCCCATGCAGAAGAATTCAGAAAGGATATTACTCCCACAGTTATTGCCAGTAAATTTGAGGCCAGGTTAGAAAGGCAGTGGGTAAACCTTGAAAAAGAAAGAGGTACAAAAACCCCTCTCCTCGACAAAGGTTCCAAGAAAGGTAGAGAATTAATGCCCCCTAAACCTGCCCCCGGAGAGAGACGTTACATATGTGCTGAGTGTGGAAAAGCCTTTAGTAATAGCTCAAATCTCACTAAACACCGGAGAACACACACTGGGGAGAAACCCTATGTATGCACCAAATGTGGGAAAGCCTTCAGCCACAGCTCAAACCTTACCCTTCATTACAGAACACACTTGGTGGACCGGCCCTATGACTGTAAGTGTGGAAAAGCCTTTGGTCAGAGCTCAGATCTCCTTAAACATCAGCGAATGCACACTGAAGAGGCACCATATCAGTGTAAAGATTGTGGGAAAGCTTTCAGTGGTAAAGGCAGCCTCATTCGACACTATCGAATACATACTGGGGAGAAACCTTATCAGTGTAATGAATGTGGGAAGAGTTTTAGTCAGCATGCAGGTCTTAGTTCTCATCAGAGACTGCACACTGGAGAGAAGCCGTATAAGTGTAAGGAGTGTGGAAAAGCCTTCAACCACAGCTCCAATTTTAATAAACATCATAGAATCCATACTGGGGAAAAGCCCTATTGGTGTAATAATTGTGGGAAAACCTTCTGTAGTAAATCAAATCTTTCCAAACATCAGAGAGTCCACACTGGAGAGGGAGAAGTGCTTTAACTGTCAAGTATGCTCTCTCAGTGTTTTTGTGTGTGTGTGTTAACTTTAGAACATGAATGCTAGGGAGAAGCCCAGTAACTGTAATATAAACTTAAGCAGTAGATTTTGTTTCACTCAACATCAAGGGACACTGGAGGAGTGAGCAGTGGCACAGTAGGAAGGAAGGTGTAGTGGATTCCTCACTTGCAGGATCCCCTCACCACACTTCAGGTCCCATTAACCATGCCGGCATTGCCTTTTGTATAGTTAAAATTATGTGTATCAAGTATAATTATGGAAAAAACATCATGACTGTTTAACTATTTTAACATACATTCAAGAATTATGATTTGTAAAGAATTGAGCCATTTGAACACAATCTAATCTGATTCAGAATAAATTTATAACATCTTATAATACTTCAGGACTGTTAAAATAAATGGTATGTTTATTGAACACTGCTAGAGAGGCAACTATTCCTACTTGTTTTTCTTTTGTGAAATTTGGACTTGGGGTAAATAGAACATTTAGTACTTGTGAATGAATATGTGTATTTGAAAATTGCAGTAATGTGTAGAATAGCTGCCTCTTGGTCTACATTGTGCTTTTCTTTCCTGAACACACTTTTTTTCAATCACTGGGAACATTTTGTCAGCCTCTTGTGCATTTTGGTTGTGTATATTCTGTCTCTGCCAAAATCTGTGAAAATCTGATTCTCCCTGAGAAAATTCCTTCTAAATTCCTGAATTCAGTAATACACAATTTGATTACCTTAAATCCATCCCACCTTTTCCTTCTGGCTCCAATCTCTTTGATTTCTTAAGGTACTTCTCTCTACCTTATAAAAAGCCTTTTGGCCAGTAGATCCTCCTGTTACCTAAAAACTCAACTACTTCACTCTTTTCTCCTATCACTTGCTTATGTTGTTATTCTGAATTTTTTCACCTCTTACTAGTAGTCTCTAAAATACCTTTTTGTCTACTGCTGCAGCCATAGTGTTCAGACAAACATGATATGTTAGGATTGGAGACAGCAAGAAAGTGTCATGTCTAGTACCAGTTCTGATTTCTGGAAACTGCCTGTATGCCATCCTGGGATTAGATTAAACTAGAGGTAGCAAGTCTTTATGCACCAAATGTATTAGAGAAGGAGTCGTTACTGAAAAAAAAAAAAAGAACTGTGCTTGAAATCTGAAATGTTCTTACTGTTTGGGTAGCTTGCTGATGACCTGGATGTCCTGCCAGCACGTTAACTCAGTACCTTTTATGTGAGTTCTCCTGTTTATATATTAACCATGATGGAGGCACACAGAGAATTAGTGATTAGCAGCTGATTATCTGTAGGCTCCTGGAGCTGATTATCCATAGGCTTCTGGAGCTGCTCCACCTGAGGGAAATGAAGCCACAAGACTCTGGGGAAATATTTATTGCATATAGTTGTGGTGGAATTGTAAGTTTCTTCCCCAAAGAAACCCAAATCCTCCCCTTCAGTTGATGATTCTGGATCTGAAAACTGGCTCAGCTCTGGGAATTTCCCATTGCAATGATATCAGTGTTCTCACCAGCTCTTGAATTTTTATTTATACAAGTCAAGCATTACCCTGGTGGCTTTCAATCCTTCCTAGGAACACCAAGACTTATTAGCCATAGCCACAGATTCCTGTGGGTCAAGATACCCTAGCTGCTGTTCCAGCCTTGTTGCTTATCATAGTAGCTTTTCTAGAAATCGGTCAACCCCGTTGACACTAAGGAACTCAGTTCCATGGCAGCATCTCCTATGAATCCTAGCCTACCGAGACAGCCACCACTGAACTCAGCAATACCTGTGCTCCCCTCGTTAGTACCCTTTATTGTCTTAGTGAACTTAGGGAGTTTTTTGAGTCCTCTGAGTAACACTGTTGGGTTCTCCAGTCACATGTAATACATTCACTTTTAACATTCATGAGCCTGCTGACCCTTTTCTCAATGCTCTGCTAATTAGTTCCAGCATCTCTACATCATTTATTATAGGCCACCATTCATGTCCAAGTTTTAATGAGCCATCCAAGAAGTGTATTACGATTGTATTATTTACTATTGTGTCAAATTACCACAAACTTGGTGGCTTAAAACAATACAACTTTTATTATCTGTAGCTTAGAATCCCAACATGGGCTACAGTCAAGCTGCTAGCAGGGCCAGCTCTTTTTGGAGCTCCCGAGGAGAATCTGATTCCTTGATTCACACCTTCCTTGATTCATACCTCCAGACCCCTTCCTCCATCTTCAAGGCCAGCAACATATCTCTCTAGCCACTCTTAAATAGTCACATTTCCCTCTGACACTTCTGCCTGCCTTTTACACTTATAAGGACACTTTCGATTACGTTGGGGCTATCTGGAATAGTAAGCTATAAAGAGCTAATGCACAGAATAATGAATATAGTCAGTAATACTGTACTTAATGATGTAATGTGAAAACATTGCTTCAATGGCAATCATATTACAATATATAACTATTAAAGTAACACACTGTACACCTTAAGTTTACTTTGATTTTACTTTAAAAAAACAGCACACTATGGCATAATTTAAAAATTAAAATTAACTTTGCTCCAAAAACTGTTTTAGAATCTTAGAGCTACTAAGGTTTCAACAGGCTATTGCTGGCCATATGCAGTCTGTCTAAACCTAAGACGTTTAGTGTCAAGAGAGTGAATGAGGGGCCCTGGCCTGCTAGCTTAGTTGGTTAGAGCATTGTCCTGATATGCCAAGGTTTTGGGTTTGATCCCCAGTCACATACAAGAATCAACCAATGAATGCATCAATGAGTGGAACAACAAATTGTTTCTCCCCTTCCCCACACCCCCTGCTCTCTAAAAAATAAATAAATAAGAGAATGAATGAGGATCCCTGGTAGTCTAGAAAGACATTGTTTCCAGGGAGATTTGGGGCTAACCTGGTCTGGAGATGCTTGTGAGCATCCCCCCATATCACACACACACACACATGTTCACTCATACACATGTACACTGGACCCCTGGCTAGGGCTGCCAGATTTAGCAAATAAAGCACAAGACTTACAGTTACATTTGGATTCCAGATAAGCAATATTTGGGACATATTTCTTATACTAAAAAAGTTATTCAGTGTTTATCTGAAATTCAAATTTAACTGGATATCCTGTACCATATCTAGCAATCCTATCCCCAGCATGAGTGGGCAGCAATGCCTCCACCCCTTTGTCTTTCCAAACGTGGTGATCTGATGAATTGAGGAAACTCAGTTACTCCAATAAAATGTATATTTGCTAATGAAGTGGCAGCTTTGTGCATCCCAAGAAACACCCTGTGACTTTATAAATTCTTCTAGAATAACCTTGAAGTGCTAGCCTGGAAATGTGAGGATTAAAGAGGGCAGCAGCTCTTTCCTTGCAGCCCACCTCCAGAATTCTCATTGGTGGAGATTGTCAGCTATTAAGAGACAGAAGGGTCTGATCTATTTTGAGATGATAGGAAAGAATTCAAAGAAGTGCCTCCATAATTCTATAAAATGGCTTAAATTCTCCCCAGCTAGTCTATCCAAAATGACTTAAAATATATAGTTCAAGTATATGATTCATAAATTCTAGATGAATAAACCAATCTTGACTCCTGTTGTTACATTTCAGGTAATATCAGAACCAATATATTTTTACATTTCAACTATTTTTTAAATTGTAAAATATACATAACATAAAATTGACCATATCCCTATTTTTTTTTATATCCCTATTTCACACATGAGGAAACAGACTCAAGGCCTCCCAGCAATTAAGTGGTGGACTGGAATTATCACTGAAGCTCTGCCTGCAACACCCAGGCTGCCTGCTCATTTACCTAAGAGTCATGTAGATCATTCTAGACATTTTATAGAATGTTTCTTTTCCTGAACACAGAGATTAATGGCATTTGCCTTTTCTATTTATTGTCTTAGACCAAAGTGGACAACCAAGAATGAGGTGAGTATTCCACAGTGGGGTGATTGTGAAGCAGCAGATATGAACAGGAGATTTGGTGAGTCTTATAAATCTATGAGATATTAAGAAACAGCAGCAAAATTCCATAAGAGAGAGAGAAAGTATCCCAACCTGCAAGTTATGTTGTAGCAGAGCAACAGTCATCCCCAGAAATCCGCCACTGAAGAAAAAGGCTATAAACCATAAGAAAGTTGACAGAAATGTCAACATTCTGCAGAAGAAAGATCTTGTAAGAAATGTAAATTGGGTTGCTCAGTCATTGGCAATCATCAAAAAATCCCCAGAGCAAATAAATCCTATGTATGTAGTGACTGTGGGAAAACCTACCATCAGAAGTGCCACCTTGTAATGCACATAAGAAAAACATACTGGAGAGAAGTCCTCTGTGTGTAATGAATGTGGGAATGCATTCACTGGGAGCTCTGCCCTTACTCAACATTGGAAAATCCATACTGGGGACAAGCCTTTTAAGTGCAGTGACTGTGCAAAACCCTTAAGGCAGTAATCCTACTTCATCAGACATCAGAGAATTCATTCTAGAGAGAAACCATATAAATTTCTGAGTGTGGAAAAGCCTTCAGGAATTGATTATGGCTTTCTCAACATAAGAAAGAAACGAAAGAAACCTTATTCCTGTATTCAGTGTGAGAAAATTTTGTTTTAGCACAGATCTCACCAAACATCAGAGTTTTCACACTGGAGAGAAGTCTTATCAATGCAACAACTGTGGGAAAACCTATCAGAAATCAAGTCTGATCACACATCAGAGGGTGCACACTGGGGAGAAACCTCACACATGGATTCACTGTGGAAAAGTTTCTACCTGCCATTAAGTCTTATTGTGCATTAGAGAATCCACACTGGAGAGAAACCTTATAAATGCAATGATTGTGGGAAAGCCTTCTGCAAAAGTTCAAACCTTATCACACACCAAAACATTCACATCAGAGAGAGGCCCTGTGCATGTGAACAGTGTGAGAAAAACTGAGTAGGATTAACACCAAACATCAGGCTGTTCACACTGGAGAAATGCCTTATTAATGCAAACTGTAAAAGAAGCTTTTGTCAAAGTTCAAATCTCACCCATTAGCATGAAGACTAATGGGTGACTGTGTCCTTATGATCTTATGGAAGTGTAAGAAGGCATTTCACTTTAGCAGGGACCTCAACAGACACCAGAGTATCCACACTACACAGAGAAACATCAATGCCATATATATATAAGAGAGCTTTCACTCAGAGCTGAAGCCTTATCAATTATCAGGGTGTCCACACTAGAGAGAGGCCTTATGCATATGGTCAGTGTGAGAGAAACTTCTGCCTCAGGAGGGATCTTACCAAGCACCTGAGAGTTCATCTAAAGGAAAACCTTGAGCCCTGCCAGTTTGGCTCAGTGATTAGAGCGTCAGGCCATGGAGTGAAGGCTCCCGGGTTCGATTCCAGCCAAGGGCACATACCTCAGTTGCAGGCTTGATCTCCGGC